ATTCGACAAGAAAGCGGAGGGACCCTCGATTCGAGATATAACACATCGTTGGCGACTGTTTTTGGAAGGCCAAGGCATAAGCGCAAAGCTTCTCTTTCCAGAAGAATTAGAGGCCGCAACTTGTAAGCTGGAACTCCAGAGAAAAGCACACAACCAAATTCCAAAATTGGACGAACATACTTGCGATATATCATTAATAATGTGTCTCTCCTCATACCTATGCGGTAGTTACTTAGCTTACGTAATATGCCAATGGCCCGCACACCTTTTCCGGTGATATATTCGATATGAGACCGCCAGTTAAGCGATGTGTGATAAATTACTCCAAGGTATTTAACAGATTTCACCTGTGGTATATCCTCATGATGGTAAGACAGAGAGATGTTCACAGGGTATTGCAGCGGGAAAACAAGGAGGGCACATTTACTCGGATTAAGTAAAAAGCTGTTGCCATCGAGCCAGCTCTCCAATATATCAAGGTAAGTCTGCAGCCGTTCATATAAGGTCTGAATGTTATCTGCCATTGCAAAAAATGCGATATCGTCTGCATAAACATAAGTTGTTATATCCTGTTTACGTGGGATGGTGCTCATTAGTAAATTAAATAGCACCCGGGAAAGCACCGAGCCTTGCGGTACTCCCCTCGTTTGGGTATGAGTAGATGATGAAAACCCATCTTTAAAACAATAAAATTTCCTGTCTGCGAGAAAATTGTGAACCCACGCTACTATGTATGATGGAAAATCAAGGTATTCTAATCGATCTATCAAAATACAGTGCTCCACGGTATCATATGCTTAAGCGATGTCTAACGTAACTAAAGCAGCATATTTTTTATGTAGCCGAGCTAATTGAAGCCTACTTTCTAAGTCAACGTGGGCATCCCAAATTGAACAACCAGCCCTGAACCCAATTTGACAGGGACTTAGAATAGACTTCATGGTAATAAGTTCATTAATTCGTATATTGATGATTCTCTCAACCAATTTCACTAAGTTTGATATCAGTGCGATCGGCCTTATGTTATCCAACGTGTATGCATCATTTTCATTTTTTAGCAACAATACAATTTTGGCAAGTTTCCATTCGGGAGGTATCCATGCATTCCCCAAAGAGTAATTCACTAGTTCTAGCAAAAGACTAGGCGATTCCTGTAGTAAACATTTCAACATAGAGTTCGTAATCCCATCTGGTCCGGGAGCCATCCTCGGTAAGCATAATACTGTCTGATCCAATTCAGCTAAAGAAACTTCTGGAAATTCATGCAAGTTTACCAGAACGGACTGAATAGCCGAAAAATTCGCAGTGAAGCGGCGTTCTAAACCTTGCGCTATGTCTTCTAGAGAGGTGTTCATTTCTACCGGCGTCAAGACACATGACTGCAACGTTAAAGGTGCTGGTAGTACTTTTCTTGTCCGAAGATAAGCGAACAAAGCACGCTTATTCTTTGATTTAGAAAGATAATCAAAATGTCTACTCTCGTATTCTTCTTTCGCGCGGTTCACTGTACGCTTAAATACGCCAGCAAGGAATTGATAGTCTTTCCAGTTTGTTGGGCTCTGATTAAGAAGAAGTTTTTTCCAAGCGGCTTTTCGTCTTCTATAATCGCGCGTACACTCATCGTTCCACCAACGAGAGGAGGATCGTTTATAGGATGGAATAGAAAATTCAGAATTTTTTCTAGATCCCTGCAGCATTGAACCTATCGTAGATGCAATCTCCTTAGTACTGGCATTTCCAAGCTTGGAAATGGCAGAACGGAGGCAGGCTTGAAATTTGCTTTGGTTGATGTATGTGCGTTTTGGCTGATCTAAAGTTATTGTTGGACAAGTAATGTCAAAAACTACAGGAAGATGGTCACTGTTAGTTGCCGAATCCAGAACAGCCAATGACAAAATCTTGATTGCATTGGAGCAAAATGTTAAATCCAATACTGAGCTAGTTTGACCTCGGACAAATGTTACATGACCTTTATTCAGACAGGAGAGGTTGTGATCAATAGTCCATTCCCACAGTCGCCTACCACAAGAATATGTCCTTATACCCCAAGACAAATGGTGTGAATTAAAGTCTCCTGTGAGTACAATTTCCTTTCTACATGCTACCAAAACGCTGTCAAGATAACGCGTGCTTTGCACACCGGAGGGGAAGTAACAATTTACGATTGAAAAAGGGTGGTATCCGGGGAGACACAAGTCTAATGCTAATAATTCGCAATCGAAGTCTAACATTCTGAAAGAAGTTTTCGCTTTATGGCATAATTTACTTGATACAAGGATCATTAAACCACCACCAGGTGATGGGCGATCTAATCGAAAAGAACGAAAACCTGCAAGATGGAAATTTTTATCTGGTGTAAGCCAAGTTTCTTGGAGAATTATAATATCAAGATTAAAATTATTGCAAAAGTAATGTAAGTCGGTTGAGGCTGAGAATATAGAACGGCAGTTCCACTGCAGTACCCTTAACTGACCTATGGTGTTGAGCGCACCGCAGAGGCGCATGTCGCGCCCTTGTTAGCAAGTTCACGCGAAATAGCTGATTCATTCCGTTTAGATTTGGACTTGAGATCGGTGAAGATAGGGGATCTGGTACGTTTATTAGTTCGTATATCGAGTTCCATATCTGTATCAGTACTTGTACTCGGCCGAGGCGAATGTCGGTCCAAGTGCACCTGTGTTCCTGGCTGCTTAGCCTTGCCTGCAGATGCAGAAAGTTCGTCCATCACTACATTGCGTAGCTGTGTGGCGTCACTAGTAATGTGTAATACTGCAGGTTCTGTACTAGTCTGTACTGTTTGTCCAATCTGGCTTGAAAGAATTTGCACTAAACAGTCGGAAAGGTTAGATATTAGTTTATCCATTGCCTTACTCACTGCCTTTTTCACAGCAGTTTCAATAGCCTGCGATAGGGTTGAGTCCATACTGGAAGTGCAGCGCGCTGTTATACCAGAGTATCCAAAAGCCCTGTCTCTAAATATGTCAATGGCTTCCCTTCGAGAACAGCAGCGGCGGTCAATAACTTCTAGGATTTGAACCTCCCGGGAACGAGAGGAACAGTCAGAGTTGTCGGCGCAGTGACTGCCCCCACAGAGACAACACTTTTCCACTGTTGCAGTACAATTGCTTGAAGGATGACTCTCTCCACAGGTGCGACAACGAACGTTAGATTTACATCCTCCCGCACTGTGGCCGAATCTCCAGCAGTTCTTGCACTGAATTGGACGAGAAGCGAGGGGTTCTACTCGGAAGATCAGTGGCCATAAATTTATTTCTGACGGGCATTTTGTGCCCACAAATGTCGCGATAACAGATTCGGTTGGTACCCTCTGGTTGTCGACTAGGCGATTACACCGGTAAATTGAAATTACGCCTGCTCCAGAGAGCCTGTCTAGGGTCTCAGCTGGACTCAGCTTGGAGTCGACTCCCCGTACAAGGCCTTTGGTACATGCAAGGTGAGGCGGAATAAAAGCACTCACCGGGGTAGCAGCAAAGGAGGTGCATTTGAGAAGATCCTGCACGCAGGTCTGATCTGGCGACCTACACACGATACCTCCCCGCCCAAATGGGTGCACATTTGAGATGGTCTGGAAATGATTTGAAGTTGTCTTGAGTTCCTTTTGAACCACCTGAGGGTTTGAAAGTCTGATGAAGCCTCCATTTGTAGGTACCAGTGCTACGGGAATGCTGTCGATACCACTGCGGAAAAAGGAGTCTAGCGGTAATTCATTAGACGGCAAGGACGCTGACCAGGCGGATCGCGCCTGGCCAGGAGAAGTAGTCGACATGAGCACTAGAGATATGGTTAGACTCAGAAACAAACTATAGAGTCGGACTCTAAGACAGAAATTTAAAACCACTCAATCCTCAGCCAAGAACACCCCAGTAGGTTGAGCGCGGCACCAGCTACTGCAGGAACGGTCGTGGTTCCAGATGTGAACACGGGAGCTGGAACACGGGAGCTTCTTGCTTACTACGGTTTATAGTAAGGTGAAACGATGACGATGAGAAAGAGGAATACTCGTTTGCTTTTGCGAAAAGCAAACCATTCTAATTTGACCAGCAGGTCGCGTGACCGAATTCCGGCTGTGGCGGCTGCATTTCCGATGGAGGCGGAAATGTTGTAGGCCTGTGTGCTCAGATTTGGGTGCACAGTAAAGAACCCCAGGTGGTCGAAATTTTCGGAGCCCTCCACTACGGCGTCTCATAATGATATGGTGGTTTTGGGACGTTAAATTCACATATCAATCAATAACCACTTAATTTATAACGGGTCGTCTTTTGACAAAGCGACTTTTAGCTGCTTTAGACAGACAGACAGACAGACAGACAGACAGACAGACAGACAGACAGACAGACAGACAGACAGACAGACAGACAGACAGACAGACAGACAGACAGACAGACAGACAGATAGATAGATAGATAGAAAAGCTCAAAGTGCCTTCAGTTCGTTAAAAATATATTGTATTTCATACCAAGAGTAAGGTAAAACGACGAACTTACAGAGTTTAGTTTGAGCAATATCATAGTGATGATGATGCCCAGTCATTTCAACTATTATGGTGGCTTATGTCGAACCGCATAAAGAGGTTGAAAAAAAAAAGGGCCGCCTAAAGCATCTACGTCATCTTTACTGCTCATGTTCTTATTCTCCCAGTTGCCTTAGTTGTGTTCGAAAACCTACCTCTATTTTCACTTATGTACTTTTCTTTTTTTCAGTTCTCAGTGTTATAAATTTCTGGTAATTTTAATTTCTTTCATGTTTTATTAATATACCTCGTATAAGTTATACTTGATACTGTTTTTTCCCTGCATTCTTTATTTAATATGTGAAATACTTCTCAGAGTTTTATATGAACAGTTCTTGACCATTCTATCGATGTTGGTACGAGCCATGTGAGATCGCAACCATCATCGCGGCCAGCACGAGATTCTCGTGGCGCATGCAAGGCGTCCGTTATTTCCGCATCGGCGCGACATCTCTTTGCTCGGGGAACCATGTCCGCGGTCTTCTGGGGCGACCAGTCCCAGCAGGAGCTTGAAGGCATGTCGCGCGACTGCGTTATTCGAACGGCCAATGGCGGGGAGTTTAGGGTCCACCGCGGATTTCTGGGCGCATCGAGTCCCGTCTTTCAGGCCCTCTTCTCCGTGAACCAAGGGGGCCGTTGCGATGTTCTGCTACAGGACGTGTCGGCTTCCACGATGGACGCTTTGCTCGGCTACTGCTATTCGAATAAGGTGAGCCCCCTATCTACTTTTGTCTGCCGTGCTGAAGCAGTACTTGAGGAGCTCGGCTGTTGACCTGAAGGTCACGGGTTGATCCCGCCTGTGGCGTTGGTCGTATTTTGATGGAGGAGAAATGATAGAGACCCATGTGCTGTGCCATTTCAGTGCACGTCAAAGGTCTCCGCTACGGCCGCACTCATAGTCGGATCTTGGTTGTGAGACTCCAAACACCAGATATTATTATTACTATCTATCACATCGCAGCGGAGAGATGGGAGTTCGTGCCTGCAGTGCGCATATAGGCACGTGCGCAGAGGGGGGCAGGTGCGGGCCCATCCCAGTCATCTAAGGGGGATGCCAAGTCTGTCCTTTCTATTTTTACTCAGTCGGACTTGTTCTGTCACTTATTAATGTGTACAGCTATGGCGACGCAGCTCTCTGTGTATAATGGCGGACGAGCCCTCCTGATGTCACATTCCCGAAACTGTTCAAACCCCACCATTACTTCCGGAAAGGCGGGTACAAAAGGAAGGTTGTTGATGCATGTCATCGCTTCACGTTATCCATCGCTTCGGTTCAAGTCATAATACTATGGCGCAGCCTAGATTGCTTCTGTGAATTAGAAGCTAATTCTGACGCTGAATTCGTTTCTTCTGCACCAGCTGTGTCTCAACGAAAACAACGTGACCGAGATTCTGGCGACAGCAGACATGCTGCTCATGGACGAGGCGCGCAACCAGTGCTTGCACTACTTGCTGCACAACCTGAGGATCGAGAACTGTCTGGGCATCGCCTCCTTGGTGCAGTGGTACCACTGCCCGAACTTCAGCAAAGCAGTGCTGAGCTACGTGCGCGAGCACTTCGACCAGGCAAGTCATACGCCTTCGAGACGCGCACTCTGCTGCCAAAAATTCCCTATTAAACTTTGTTGGGCTAGTTGGTGACGTGGACAAACGCCTACTAACAACAGATTTTTATTGGAAGAAAACGTGAATACATGTAGGCTCACATTCTGACAGCTCTAATCACATGGTGTACTTATAAACAATCAAAGTTAAGCGTGATGACGTATATTTAACAAAAACAGATATGTGATCTATGAAACGTGGTGTGTACGGCCAGAGTAACATACACATAAAAATTAAATAATGAACACAGCAACACAATCTACAAAACAACACTGTAGAAGCAATTAGAAAAAAAATTGGCAGCATATCCACGGAGTGAATGATGAAGAGTGGGGCGAAGCATTCGTCCGTCCAAGCGCCCGTCTGTATGACCGTACATGCGTCCATCCGCCCGCCCGTGCGTGCGTCTGTTCGTGCGTCCGTCCCTGCGTTCGTCCATGCATCCGCCCCTGCCTCCGTTCATGCGTCCATCCATGCATCTGTCTGTGTGTCCGTTTGTCCATCTATTCAACACTCCAAGCACCACCATCTTGCATATTTTCATCATATATTCCCCATTATAGAAGCACCGCCATCCAGCGGACATTCCAAGGACTAAACTAGAGGTGGCACATGCACACTTTCTTGAGGCTTGCGCTTTGGGTCTACTTCTCACCTTTAACCATCTCGAGTTCATGGTATATACTAGTTCACTGTATTCATGGCACTGCGGCCCAACGCTCGCTAAACCTTTCTAAAACTAAGAAGTTACACCCAGCGAGTATAACGTAGCAACCCTTTCTTGTCAGATAGTGCTCAATGTACATGTCAATGGCTGCTAATGGGGATCGCAGCGTGCGCATTAACTAAAAGCTGAATGCCCTGTCTCTCATTCCCCATTAGCCACCATTGGCATGTATACATTAAGCACTATTTCTTATTGTTCAACATCGAACAGAAAAAATCTCTCAACGGCACCACCTTGGAGGTCAAAATGTTATACTTGTTACATACTACAACGGCCACAAGGGACTGAACGGTTGCCGCTGTAAGGAGCTTCGCCCCTAAAACATTTTTTTTTTCGTTTCTTGGTCAGTACACTGTTGATATACCAGGTTATGCGAGGAGTCATTTCAGCCAAGCATTTCTAAAATGGCAGTTCATATTCGTCTAATATCTCTAACGGTTCGCTGACGCAGTCCAGGCCCTTCCTTTTAATAAATAACGTTTCTTTGAGCTCGCGTGTGACGTTGTCTCGATTTATATTAAAAATAAAGGTTTTAAACGAGGAATGCATCCGCAGGCTTTACATTTTGTCAGCTAAGGAAAGAACGCCAGTCAAGTCGGAGGGCCGTTTCTAAACATAAGAGTTATATTAGCATTATACTCTTTAGGGTTCTCGACTCCTCCTATAGTCATTGTGGTTGTTGTGCAAGCCATGCGTAGGCTTACACAGTTTTCCTACAGTGCTGTGCTCGTATCGCGTACAATGCGTTTGCATATGTGGACGTGCGTATATGCAATATACATGGATGTTCATGCATATGTGCATATACAATGCTGGGCTTGTATCATTGGAACAATTTCAGGTGTTCACTAACAGTGTTGAAAATTGTTCGAGTGTCATGTACTGATTGCTTTAACACGCCAATTTCTAAGCACCACTGATTCCGTACACGGTGTATTTTGAATAAATATACTTTGTGAAAAAGTGGCTTGACCTTTGACGTACAGATATGAAGCCTTATTTACTGGTTAGACACCTTACGATACCAGTCGTCCTCGTCTTATCTTTCTCAGCCTGTTCTTTATCGGCAAACTATGCATTGAGGATCTCACCAACTCGGCTAATTAAGAACAATTGGGAACAAGAATTAGCGTTCTGTGGTAGGGCAATCCTTCCGCGCTAACCACTGCATATTCGACGCAGGTGTGGCGTACAAGCGACGAGTTTCCGGTGGTCACCGAATCGCTGCTCGTCGAACTACTTTCCTCCAACGAACTGAACGTGCACGACGAAGTGGACCTCCTGCACGCCATAGTGCGATGGTCATCGGCGAGAAGTGCGTTTGCGGGAGGGGTTGGTGCAACTATGTCGAGGCTGCTGCAGTCATTCCGGGTCGGCCTCTGCGACTCATTGTAAGGGGACTAGAAGCGAAAGTTCGGCTAGCTCGTTGCTCCAATCACCGTAAGGGGTACCTAATTATTACGAACTGAAAATCAGTTCCCGGGACTAAAGAATATAAATGGGACTGTAAGTTTGCACTGATTTATCTTTGTGTAAAGCGGCATTCTTTACCGTATTCATTTATTCGGTTTGCTGGAAACAATAAAAAGGAAATTTCTTTTTTTTTGTAAATGCAGTGTTAGTTTAAGAGTTATATCGAAAAAAACAAAATAGTGTCCTAAGTGTCATTTGCGATTGGCCTGAGAGGAATCGCTAAGAATTTGTTCATGTTTCGGAATAGCTGAACCAGTTGACCAACAACTAAGGTTTTGTGCCTCTTTTTTTTTTCAACGCAACAGACAGCTTACCACACACCGAGTCCCAATTACAGAATGGTAAAATGAAAACGACGAGAAACATTCGTAATCAGAATTTAGCTTTCTGCAGTGAATATCAAGTCGCATGCTGCATACACTGAGTGCGAGAGCACTGCGTGTTCGTGCGTGGTGGTCTACTGCGCATGCGCCACGGCTCGACTTTATCCACTGGCGTCCACCATGAAAACGCCGCTTCTCGCCATGCAACTCAGTTTACGTTGTGATTGGCACCGAATTGAGTGGGGCTGGATAACATATTGTGCGACAAAACCCCCACAATATACATACTCTGGTTTTCAGGCCTAGTGCGTGACAGTATCAGACTATGCGTCAACGTACATGAAGGTAATGGACACTCCATAATCTATGATTCAGCTTCAAGCTGCTTTTCCCTCAGGGATGCGCGGCATGCATAATGGTGTTTGGTAATTTTAAGCATGATTTAGAAGCACAAGTTCAAGTCACTACGCGAGAAGAATGCTGGAATATGTCACCATGTTTCGAGGTCTTTTCATTTCTGCTATTATCTAATCGCACGTCCTGGCCAATTGTCACTTCATTTAAGAGCAATCTCTAGCATAAATTAATTTTTGTGAGTACGGGTGCTGAAGTACATTGTTCTTTGTTCAATACATCACACATACTTTACTACAAAGCCACTGATAGGTTGATGGATGTTTTTGTATTAACCAGTGTTTGTCTCACTGAAGGTATCTGTAACTATCGTAAACTGAGCCTTTGACAAGCTCTGAACAATAGGGCAATATCCCCGAATTTCGTTGCGTCGGGTAAAAGTAAATTATTGCACGCACCGCATACGCAATTTTTTGTACTAATTTATGATGCCTTTAAGTAAACGAATTATGCACCCACCATTCCTGTGGTTTTGAGGCACCTTTATATTCTTTCCGTTATTCCAAAACCTCGGCCAAGGCAAGCTTTCAGCTCCTCTGATGTGTTGTTTTATGAAGCTCGATCAGCCTAATGCAAGAAGCCGCTACTTAGGTGTACCTTAATCCGTTATGACGACTGTTCCATAACACAGCTTCTGATATTATCACCGAGTAATTTTTTTTACATGCTAGTGATATGGGTGTATGAGGCGTTAACGTAACAGCCGTGCATCACTGGGCGCAGGGCGCTGGAAGACTTCTGCCGCTCGCATCCGACGCTGGCGTGCAGCCGCGCGTTCAGCCAGGTTGTGTGGGAACCACAGCAGCAGGGCCCCTGCCTGTGCTCGCCTAGCCCGCTCCTGCTGGTGCAGTGCGCTGCCCGCTGCAGCTCTCCAGGAGCAGCGGACGCGGTGCCCCCCTTCGATGGCTACGGCGACAGCAGCAACACCAACGTCGCTGACGCTGCTGCAACCAAAAGACGTGCGTCGAAATCTCACACGGATTACCAATTACTACATCAAAGTGCGCGGGACTATCAACGTCGCAGAGCTGTAGTGACCACCAGTGAATTGCCGGGAAGAGCAGTTCTCCTATAGCACTTCTTCAGCATGGTCGGGAAACGCGGCCAATCGGTATTCGAGTGTCTTGAAGAACACGTGCGTAAAACTATATAATGCAATACACAGTCTGCATTATGCAATTAGTTCTCGGAGTTAGAATAGCCATTCCTGTCCCAACGTGGGTGCGGTCTGCAGCCGACCCGCCCTCTTGAAGGGCGTCGGCTTCTCAGGAACATTTATAAAGTTCTTTGGCTGACTGATTTGCCATGCTTCCAAGTATGAAGCCGCGAGTTCAACTCCAGATGACCTGTTTTGAGTTACGAAAGCAGCTGCGTGAGAACTTGATGTTTTGGCCGGTAACCTTGCTTTTAAAAGTTTTGTTACCTGTGCCCTACTTCTATTGGTCTGTCGTCTCTTGCGAAGTATGAAAGCGTATGCCTTTCCAGCTCGTCCAAGCATGTGGTTTAATCTTCTTCATAAACTTCTTCAGACTGTGCTCTTTCGGGAACCTGAACCCCACGACAAAACACTGTATGAGTACAGGTATACTGAGAGTGAGGAAACAGTAAACTGAAAGAGAAACACAGTATGCATAACGCAAAGCGCTCAGACGCTATGACAGCACACAGTCTAGTCTACATAGTCAGCAGAACAGTTCAAGCGTTTCCTTCGGCACGTTAATGGGCTTTTGGCAACACCAACATATTGTTACGTACGGTGAGGTAACTTAAGGGGGTTTTAATGGGCACTGAGTCTGCGATCACAGTAGAAGCAACGTCGTCTTCCTTCTCTACCCATGCTTCCCTTGTTTTTTCTGGTAGTGACACTTCGTATCATTCCTCCTGTCTAAGACAAAGCCCTCAGGGCAAGTCATTCCTGTATCCTTCGCGTAAACGGCTTCAGGACGGGCAACATGCGTCACCTCTGTCTTGCATAAACGTTGGCCACGAGTGGTGACACGTGCAATTTCATAGTTGACCTCAATGAGACGATGGAGTATCACGAACGGACCGGCGTAGTGCGCCAGTGGCTTTTGGCTCAAGCCACGTCTGCGTACTATAGGGTTCACACCCCCACTAGATCACCGGGGGCATAGGTTACATGCCGGTGTTGACTGTCGTAGCGAGTTTTGGAGGAGTCTTGCGCTGCCAGTGTTCGTAAACAGGCAAGTCGACGTGTCTCTTCCGCACGACACAAAGTTTCCGCAATTATTAAATCGTCATGGACGACAAAAGGAAAGATAGTGTCCAGCATATGTCGAGGTGAGCGAGCGTAGAGCAGATAGAAAGGGCTGTAGCCTGTCGTTTCGTGTTTCGCCGTGATGAAGGCGTACGTGACGAATGGTAATACTTCATCCCAGTTTTTGGGGTTGGAGGCGACGTCAATATACTCATTCTCCCTGCAGGAACATCGTTCCCGCAGCTTGAGTGCGAGCGCTGTGGCTCGGCGCGCAACCCTGAGCGCTGGCTGCCAGCGCATGCCGTACCAGATGCTCTTCGTAGTAGGCGGCTGGAGCGAAGGCCGCGAGCGTGACACGATCGAGACGTACGACTCCAGGCCGGGACGCTGGCTCATGAATCACATGCAGGGATTCAAACCCAGGCAAGCTTCTCTGGCGCACGCACATCTTGTGCCCCATTACGCATATCCATTGAGTGGGCATCGGGAAAGCTCTGATCATGTATTTCTTTCCTGTTACCATGGAGGTGGCCATCGTTTCTATGTTGGGGCTAGCTTAAAATGAGTGTGTAAACGATTCAGTTAATATAACACACATATCACCGGCTCTGAGCACACATCGACTAGTTCTTAAATTTGCTTTGACCTTAACGGACACAATATACATGACATACAGCACAGAATGCGATGAATTCTCCTATGATGTGGCAATTTTCCTACAGCGCAATTGTTTCGACCGTGACAGTGTATAGCGAACTGAACACACATATTTACAAAAGGTAGGATACACATCGGACATTCATTCAGGAGATGCTTTGCGTGTGCAGTTTTCGCTGGTGGGCTTTTCTCAGGTAGTCTCCCACATCGGAGGATTATTCCCATAGGCCTGCGTAGGGTTCCCCTTCTAGAGGGCGAAGTTCATATATGGAACGGACTTTTCCTGCCCCCTCCCCTTCTGACGAGTAGTGCCCAGTCCCTATTACTCAATATATAGTACTGACTTTGCGTCCCCCTCATGGGGGGGGGGGGGGCAGGGAGATGCCGCCCTCCCTGGCCACCCAAAAGGAGGGACGCAAAGTTCATACTATAAATTGAGTATTAAAAAGTGAGCACTCCAATCCGGCAGAAGAAGAGGGGGGGGGTGAAGTCAGCCTCATGTATGAACTTCGCCCCCTTGAAAAAGAACACTACGATCAATCTTTGAGGTTCACTGGACTTTCTCCCTTTCGGAACTGTTCAGTTCGTCCACTGCATGAAAACTATGAAAATAGGTCTTACGTAACCCACCGGTACACCTATTCAGCCACAATAGGAATATATATATATATATATATATATATATATATATATATATATATATATATATATATATATATATATATGGGCACCTTCATCTTGCTTGTTACCTTTTAGGTTCATCTTTCTGACGTAAATGTTGCTCTGGCACTTCTGTTGCCGGACTGAAAAACATTAAGAAAGACCAAAACTTCCGAAAGTTATGCACCAGATAGCATATTATATTCATATGCATCGATCAATCGTGGTGCAATGACTCACAGTGAAATACGTTTTATGCAAGAAAAATTGCCGTATACCTGTTTATATATTTCTCAGTAAACGTGGCATCGCTCTGCTTGAGAGAAATAAATAAAAGGAAGAGACAGGGAGGTTAACCTAGACGAACTGGTTTGCTACCCTGTACGGGGGTGGGGAAAAGGGTCCGAAAGAGGATAGAAATAGATAGATAAAAAATAAACTCGAAAAAAAAACCACATGCGCACACATTCAGGGAGTTCAGGGAGGTCAGGTAGTGAATTACCTGGCTAAGAAAGGCACAAGTTATAAATTTGATCTGCGAAGCTGCCACTTGCACTTAAATTTTAGAGCAATAGCACTACTCCTCCCGACGCGAACCCAGAAAGAGTTCTCGTGCGTGCGTTTGGTCTTGAAACCTGGCCTCCTCGCACGTGCGTCGTCATAGTCGTAGAAACGCGCAGTGTCGGTTTGTTCTCTTCTCCCGCTTACCCCGTATCTGTCGGTTGGCGAAAACCTTGAGCTGGCGCGCGCATGCGCCTGGAGACCTTCCTTCTAGGCAGGTACCTCGATAAAACTTGTTTTATCAGGGGACCTTATCTGTTAAGGGAACTCAGTGCAATGAAGCATGCAGAAGCGAACGGGGAAAGCGTGCCGCAGCTTGCCGCCTGAGGGAGACACCGCTGCGGTATGTTTTTCGCGGCAGTTGCTGATATCCCCTCTACCAGACTTGTTTGACAGCGTTTAACTATGACATTTCCTTGTTATAAGAAAATTTGGTCACGCTTTGAGGCTGCTCGACATCACTACGTGCCTAAGGAAAGGCGCGCGCCCAGAATTGTTTACTGCTTGCAAGTATATCGGGCGTGATAGTGCAGGAACACCAAGGCGTATCTTTTCGCAGGGCGTACCACGGCGTGACGTTGATGCAGAATCGTTTATACGTGGTGGGTGGCATGCGAGACACTGAATACCTGCGCTCTTGCGACTCCTTCGACATCAAGCGCTGCACGTGGGAGACCTGCTCCAGCATGAACGTCGCTAGAGGCTACGTCTCCGTTGTGGCTCTGGGCGGTTACGTGTACGCCATCGGAGGTCGAAACGGTACGCACGTGTATACGTTCGCAGTATACGGAGAGGGAACATACAGAAATGGCTGTGCTGTGGGGAGAGCGGGGTAGACTCGTGATCTGACATGACCTGAACCAATATCCGGGAGCCCGTCGTTTGGTCCCGCAAGCAGGCAGGGCACTTGTGTTTGGGTTCCGGACTATGACTCGTGAGCGAGTGTGAAGCTGTTGGTTGACTTTACATTTAAACATTGATCTAAGAAAAGAATGCTTTTTTTCACAGATGATGGCATGATTTACCAGTGCATTGTTCCGGGTACCATCGATTAAGCAATTCGTTTTATTCCTTTTGCTGAGCGCCCACCTATCTTGATCTGGTGGCGGGCGTTCATACTTGTGAGCTTTGCCAATAAAAAAAAACGAATATTAGGTATACTTGACGCGCGACATAAGTATGTAAGTGTTAGGCAGTGTGTCTTTTTATGTAGCAAATGCATAGATACCTACTTTAAACATAGAAATGTTTATTACACTGCGATGACAATGCGACGCCATGAACGAAGAAGCGGGTGTTTTCTACGCTTCGCCTAATAATTCGGAAACCAACAAAAATGACCCGGTCCTGCCTCCTACCAGTGGCAAGAAGCTTTTCCAAAAAGATTTTGTTTCTTCACATTACTGCCAGATGGCACCATATCTCAATCACCGTCTTTTGACAGAAGAAGTCTTTCGACACACACACACACACACACACACACACACACACACACACACACACACACACACACACACACACACAACACACACACACACACACACACACACACACACACCACACACACACACACACACACACACACACACACACACACACACACACACCCACACACACACACAACACACACACACAACACACACACACACACACACACACACACACACACACACACACACACACACACACACCACACACACACACACACACACACACACACACACACACCACACACACACACACACACACACACACACACACACACACACACACACACACAACACACACACACACACACACACACACACACACACACACACACACACACACACACCACACACACACACACACACACACACACACACACACACACACACACACACACACACACACACCACACACACACACACACACACACACACACACACACACACACACACCACACACACACACACCACACACACACACACACACACACACACACACACACACCACACACACACACACACACACACACACACACACACACACACACACACACACACACTCACACACACACACACACACACACACACACACACACACACACACATATATATATATATATATATATATAGTATATTTGTGGCATGACAGCTTCTACAGCGAAGCAATCAGTGGTTATGGTATTATTGCATAGCATCTTTGATATGTGCCACCACTTTGTCGATAACTAAAAGTGGTGCTCAGTCAACTAATTCATGTAATGTCGATGAGGCAAGATGTCTGTGTATCGTTCGCCACACTTAAAGAATGGACATCGGTCTTCGTGATCCTTGATCACGCAGACACTGAACGCACAGCCTCCGTGGAGCGCTACGACCCGTGTGTCAACCAGTGGAAACCAGTGTGCGCCATGAACAAGAGGCGAAGTGACGGAGCTGCTTGCGTCTTCAGAGGCAAGTCACGACGATGCTGCAGAACATCCATGTTTGTTAGTAGATGTGCTATACTGAAGGCGACAGTGGAGTATTGCACTATATGCATTTAGTATACACGACCGACCTTGCGACAGAAGTGGTATTGTTTCAGGATTGATTTTTGTACGTTTGCTCTCCTTTTAGAACGAAGCTGTCTTAGATACCCCTTGTGCCATCGTCGTATTTGTAGTAGTAGTATTAATATGCATCATGTAGATCACGCGATCAGAAGAGGAGTGAAGGGTGATGGTTTGGACTGACGTCACTGAAACAGCACCACTGAAGCCCCAATATCGTGGGTTGCTAACTTTGTGCTGTCACGTTAGTGTTATCAGTGCATGGTATGTTGGTTCTTTCATTATTCTTTTAAGGCGTTTATTAGCCAGCAACCAGCGATCATACGCTATGGCGACAGTCACGATCAAGCACGGACTCACAGCGCGAGCAGCGCCCTTGTTGAATAGCCGCACTAGAAGGTACTCAAGAGTTCAACCCATTTTAGAGTTCGGATGCTTCGCTACAACTACCCCGGGGTCGAAGAGGGAGCCACCTGGCGATCTAACAACTTGTTACTATGAGCGGGTCATAATAAGCCTTCAGGCGTCTCACGTTGTCGATGTCGCGCCCGCGTCGGCGCATGTCCGAAGATTGTTCGACGGGTTCGATCAGATAGTTGACCGGAGATGTGCGCTCTATGACACGGTACGGGCCTTCGTATTTGGCAAGTAGTTTGGAAGAGAGGCCAGCTACAGAGGTCGGAATCAGGGGCCATACAAGCGAGCCAGGAAGGAACGTGGGCTCAGAAGTGGTGGAGCCATTACGAATACTCTTCTGCCGCTCTTGCTCATGCGTCGTAAAAGTCTTGGCAAGCTCGCGACACTCTTCAGCATGCCTGGCTGTCTCAGAAATAGGTGCACACTCAGATGGATCCGGCGTGTACGGGAGTATCGTGTCCATGGTGTGCGACGGGTGCTTTCCGTACACCAAGAAGAAAGGTGAAAAACCGGTCGTGCTCTGAGGGGCAGTGTTGTAGGCGTAGGTGACAAAGGGCAGTATATTATCCCAATTTGTGTGGTTGGCGGTGACGTACATCGAAAGCATGTCGCCGAGGGTGCGGTTAAAGCGTTCAGTGAGGTAATTCGTTAATTCGTTTGCTGGTGGTAAGCAGTAGTTTTGCGGTGGACAGAGTGGCACTCCGTCAGAATGGCTTCGATGACTTCCGACAAGAAGACACATCCTCGATCGCTGAGAAGCTCTTGGGGTGGTCCGTGGTGCAGTATGAATTGATGCAGCAAGAAGGACGCAACATCGCGCGCGGTAGCTGCAGGGAGAGCGACGGTTTCGGCGTATCGTGGTAAATGGTCTACGGCAACAATGGCCCAGTGGTTACCAGCCTACGTCAGAGGAAGTGGTACATACAAATCGATACCTACGCGCCCAAACGAACGGTCAGGGCAAGGTAACGGTTGCAGACCAGCGTACGACATGTGTGCTGACGGTTTGCGGTGTTGGCAAGTGAGGCAAGAACGAACGAACTGCTGCACGTAGCGGTATACATCCCACATCAGAAGTAACGTTGTCCATTGCGGTGGTAAGCTTTTAATAGCCCAGTGTGCGCGCATTGCGGATCAGAATGGAAAGATTCACATATCTCTGACCGCAGACTGCGGCGTATCACGAGTAACCACTGCCGGCCATCGGCGTCATAATTTAGTCGGTGTAGGAGGCCGTCACGGATGGCCAAATGATGAGCTTGACGACACAAGGCACGCGTGGGTGGTGTGGTGGGCGGATCAGCGAGCAAGTCGATCAGTGGGCTGATCCAATTATCCTTTCGCTGTTCGGTAGCGAGGATGTCAACATCGATGGCAGAAAAAGCAATTGAGGTTACTGAGCAGGGCACACCGTCTTCGGGCAGAGGGGAGCGCGAGAGGGCATCGGCGTCAGCATGCTTGCGTCCGTTGCGGTACAGCACGCGGATGTCGTAGTCTTGTAAGCGAAGAGCCCAACGGGCGAGACGGCCTGAGGGATCCTTCAATGATGACAGCCAGCATAGTGCATGATGGTCGGTGACGACATCGAATGGGTGACCATACAAATAAGGTCGTAACTTTGTAAGGGCCCACATAATCGCCAGGCACTCTTTATCCGTGACAGTGCAGTTTGTCTCAGCTCTGATGAGCGTACGGCTTGCATATGCTACGACATATTCAGAGAATCCGGGTCGGCGCTGCGCCACGACAGCGCCGAGGCCTACACCGCTGCCGTCCTTGGGCCCCTCCGTTGGGACCGTAGAGTCGTAGTGGCGTAGAATGGGACGAGACGTCAACAAATGGTGGAGCTTTGCGAACGCGTCGTCGCACTCGGATGACCACGAACTGCGGGGCCCGTTACTTCCAAGGAGCTTCGTCAGTGGTGATATGATCGTGGCGAAGTTTTTTATGAAGTGTCGGAAGTATGAGCACAGGCCCACGACACTACGCAGTTCTTTGACGGACGCAGGTTTGGGGAATTCGGCCACGGCCCGAAGCTTAGCCGGATCAGGAAGAATGCCGTCCTTGGACACGACGTACCCTAGGATGGTGAGTTGCCGTGCTGCAAAGCGGCACTTCTTCAGATTTAGTTGAAAGCAGGCATTTTTCTCACGTGCATAAACTTCTTTTCGACGTTGGAGATGCGTGGAGAAATCTGGAGCAAAGACAAAGACATCGCCGAGGTAACACAAGCACGTATACCACTTCAAGTTGCGCAGAACGATGTCCATCGTGCGCTCAGAGGTCGCAGGTGCATTACATAGACCAAACGGAATGACGTTGAAGTCGTAAAAGCCGTCGGGTGTGATGAAGGCGGTCTTCAGTCGAGCGTCATCAGCCATGGGTACTTGCCAGTACCCCGTGCGCAGATCGAAGAGAAGAAACAAATTCGGCTCCGTGAAGGCTGTCTATCGCGTCATTGATGTGCGGCAGTAGATAAACATCCTTGCGAGTGATCTTAATGAGCCGTCTGTAATCCACACAGAACTGCACAGAACCATCTTTCTTCGCAACAAGAACAACAGGAGACGCTCATGGACTGTCCGGAGGTCGAATAACGTCGCGTCAAAGCATATCATTACCCTGATCATTAATTACCCGGCTACCAGCAGATGACACGCGATATGGACGTTGCCGTAAAGGTAGACGGACACCGTGTCGATGCGATGCGTAACGGCGGACGTGGGACTGATAGAACTTCGCCCGACATCGAAAGAAGAACGATATTCTTGCAACAGGTCCAGCATCTGGGAACGCTGTACCACCATAAGTTTGCAAGCAATGGAGGGGCCAAATACATCACCAGATGGCAGATCAGAAGTGGAAACAGCATTGATGGTACGCGAACTGGGACAGCGCGGTTCATCGGGTACGTCCAGGACTTGTGCGTCGTCGACGGGCTTTACTCTGCGGAGACATTCCCCTCGAAGCAAGGTAACAGTGTACGGGGATGGGTTGGTTACAAAAATAGCGGCGTTGCCCTGGGTGACTTGCGCGGTTGCTAAGTGTACTAGCAACCTTTTTCTGCTACAAGTGCGGTCGGATGGCGAAACGAGTGCAATTGTGCCGGAGAGACCGGCGCAGTAGACCGACACAGCCGTCGTCGAGTTCAGAGGCACTGTTGTATTGTCTTTCATGAGAATCTTGCTCAGTGTGGAGGGACTGTCATCTCGCGTCAAATGCGAGAAGGGTGACAGTTCAATTTCGGCGAAGGCACAATGGATGACGGTGTCGTGGTGGGAGAGAAATTTCCATCCCAGAATGGCGTCATGAGAGCATGCCGGAATGATGATGAACTGTGCGACACGCAGAACGTCCTGAATAACAACGTTCGCGAGCTGTGCACCCTGCTGTAAGATGAATACGATGCGAAGTAGCTGTATGGAGGGACAACCCGGAAGGTGGCATCGTAACTTCTTGAAGTAAGCGGCAAAGTTTTTCGTCTATAACTGATACGGCAGCTCCAGTGTCAATAAGAGCCGATGCACGAACACCGTCCACAAACACGTTAATTACATTCGAGGAGCTGCTCCGAGGGGTTTCACATTGCGGTAGCGTCGCATTCCTTGCTCTGGGGACTGCGACAACTAGTTTTCCCGCTCATGAGCAGCCAAACTTGGCTGGATGGGGGACAAGGAACGACGTCGTGAAGACGGCGACCTTCGTGGAGATGGACCTGGGTGAGACGGTGGTGGCGTAGACGGTGGATCGTCGTGATATGGACAGCTGAGCTGGCCAGCAACAGACGAAGAAATGGGAGCCGGCTGTACGCAAGAGCAATAGCGTGCTACGTGACCGGCGTAACCGCAGGCAAAGCGTATGGGCCAGTTGTCGGGCGTGCGCCATCAGTTCGCCGGGGTAGGTCTCACCCATGTCGCCAGAGCTGATGGACGGAACGGTGGCTGGAAAGGCTGCATGGTGGGCTGAAGCTGAGGCTGATGAGTCGCGTCGACATACGTAGCGGGCATACCCGCTGCAAAGGACGGAGGTCGAGCGGCTGCTTCGGCGTAATCCAAAGGGGCGGGTGCTGGAACGACTTGGAAGCGGCCTGGCGACCACTTGGTCGTAACTCAGGGGCGCGGGAGCCGAAGGTTGTTTTGGGCGGTATGCAGGCATGACTCCTCCGCTAGGAAAGTTAAAATAGCGGAGGAGTTTTACAGAGATCTGTACAGTAGCCGGGACAACCACGACTTTAATACTATAAGAACTAGCAGTAACCCAGATGACACCCCACCAGTAATGATAGAAGTTAGAAAAGCTTTGGAAAGCATGCAAAGAGGCAAAGCTGCTGGTGAGGATCAGGTAACATCAGATCTGCTGAAAGATGGAGGACAGATTGTGTTAGAAAAACTAGCCACCCTGTTTACGAGGTGTCTCCTGACGGGAAGAGTGCCAGAGACTCGGAAGAACGCTAACATCATCTTAATACATAAGAAAGGCAATGACAAGGACTTGAAGAATTACAGGCCGATCAGCTTGCTCTCTGTAGTATACAAGCTATTGACAAAGATAATTGCTAACAGAGTGAAGAAAATATTAGAATTCAATCAACTAAAAGAATAAGCAGGATTTCGAACAGGCTACTCAACAATTGACCACATTCATACTATCAATCAGGTAATAGAGAAATGCTCTGAATATAACCAACCATTATACATAGCCTTCATAGATTTTGAGAAGGCGTTTGATTCAGTAGAAATATCAGCCGTCATGCAGACACTGCGGAATCAGGGTGTCGATGAAGCATATATAAACATTCTGGAAGAAATCTACAGGGGATCAACTGCTACCATAGTGCTTCATAAAGAAAGCAACAGAATACCAATCAAGAAGGGTGTAAGGAAAGGGGACACAATTTCTCCAGTGCTATTCACCGCGTGCTTACAGGAGGTTTTCAGAAGCCTAGAATGGGAACAATTAGGGATAAGAGTTAATGGAGAGTACCTTAGTAACCTGTGCTTCGCCGATGACATTGCATTGCTGAGTAATTCAGGGGACGAATTGCAACTCATGATTACGTAGTTAGACAAGGAGAGCATAAAGATGGGTCTTAAAATTAATCTGCAAAAAACGAAAGTAATGTACAACAAACTCGGAAAAGGGCAGCGCTTCGAGATAGGTAATGGTGCACTTCAAGTTGTAAAAGACTATGTCTACTTAGGGCAGGTAATAACCGCGGGGCCTAACCACGAGACTGAAGTAACTAGAAGAATAGGAATTGGGTAGAGCACATTTGGCAAACACTCTCGAATTGTGGCAGGTAGATTGCCACTATCCCTCAAGAGGAAGGTATATAACAGCTGTATCTCTCCGGTACTTAGCTACGGAGCAGAAACCTGGAGACTTACAAAGAGGGTTCAGCTTAAATTGAGGATGACGCAGCGACCAATGGAAAGAAAAATGCAAGATGTAACCTTAAGAGACAAGAAGAGAGCAGAGGGGATTAGGGAACAAACGGGGCTTAAGGATATCATAGTTGAAATCAAGAAAAGAAAATGGACATGGGCCGGGCATGTAGCACGTAGACAGGATAACCGCTGGTCATTAATGGTAACTAACTGGATTCCCAGAGAAGGCAAGCGAGTTAGAGGGAGACAGAAGGTTAGGTGGGCCGATGCGATTAAGAAGTTTGCGGGTATAAATTGGCAGCAGCAAGCACAGGACCGGGTTAACTGGCGGAACATGGGAGAGGCCTTTGTCCTGCAGTGGACGTAGTCAGGCTGATGATGATGATGATGATGATGATGATGATGATGATGATGCAGGCGTGACCTCCGCTATTTTCTGCTCAATCGCTGGACGGATGGGTGGACGAATGGTAGTGGTCGATTGTTGGACAGCCGGTGGGTGAGCAAAGGGCAGGAGAGAGAACTGGCGCGCGATTTCCTCACTTGACGCCTGCCATCAATGCCACTTGGGCACAACTGGCCTTGAAGCCAGCAAGCGTTGCAGCTTGTGGTGGAGAGCGACAGGTCATCAAATGCTGCCGGCGGAGCTCCTCGTAGCTCTGGCACAGTGTGATGACCTCAGCCACTGTGGCGGGTTTTTGGCGAGCAGCATCGTGAAGGCATCATGGTCAATGCCTTTCATGATGTTTCGGATCTTGTTAGACTCGGACATGGTGTGATTGGATTTGTTGCATAAGTCCAAGACATCTTCAATATAGCTGGTGAATGACTCACCAGCTTGCTGAGCGCGTTCACGTAAGCGCTGCTCGGCTTGCAGTTTATGGACGACAGGGCGACCGAAAACGTTGATGACAGTGGTCTTAAAATTGGACCAGGTTGCAAAATCAGACGCGTGGTTGTTGTGCCACAAACTAGCTACGCACGCAAGGTAGAACACCAAGTTCGTCAACTTGCCGTCCTCGTCCCATTTGTTGGGGACGCTCACTGCGCTCGGTAATGGCGAACCAGTCCTCCACGTCAGTGCCATCGGTGCCAGTGAAGATGGGTGGATCAGCGGATCCTGGGACACCGGGACAAGGGGGTGACATGGGAGGAAGCGTTTGGTAGGGCATGGTAGATGGCAGGGTACGTGATCGAAGCTCCAAAGGCATTGAAAGGGAACGCAGCACTCTCCACCAATTCGTTAAGGCGTTAATTACCCGCAATCAGCGATCATACGCTATGGCGACAGTTATGGCCAAGCACGGACTCACAACGCGAGCGGCGTCCTTGTTGCGTAGCCCCACTAGAAGGTACTCAAGAGTTCGCCCCATTTCAGAGTTCAGAGGCTTCGCTACAATTATGCTTCGAGGCCCTAAAACGCTGTAGCTACGTTGTTATCTCAATTATCAGGGCTAAGCACAACGTGAACACACTGCCTTGACGACATATAAGCCGCCAGGTGTAATCCACGTTTCGCGTCCATGATGCCACGTACAAGCCGTAAATGATTGATACAAAAATTATGAATATTATCATGTTCAAAATAAGTTAGGATAGCTTTCGGTATTAAAGCTTATGGAAAGCAATTCTCATGTTCATGAAAAATAAATCAGATACGAATAATTCTAACGAGCCACTGGGAGATCTGCTTTCACTTCGTTGTGCGATGGTTGTAATTTCGAGCTGGAATTTTTTTAACAGGCAAGATATACGCCAGTGGCGGCTTCGATGGCGAGAAAGTGCTCAGAAGTGTAGAAATGTACTCGCCCAGCCACGAGACGTGGTGCCTGGTGCGGTCATTACCAAGTCCCCGCTGCAGCCACCAGATGGCGGTGGTTGGTGACCGGATGTACATCATCGGTGGATACGATGGCCGTCGACGGCTGAGCACAGGTATGCGGACCAATGAGCGGTGCAGACGTTCGATCAAAACGCCCTGATTGCTACACATCAGAATAGCCATTTAAGTCAAGACTAAGTGCAGTCTCTTAAAATCCATTGAAGCATCGTGAGCCTAACACGACGTCTAGCCAATGCGCATGACCTCAACAAAGTAGCTAAGCATACTGAATTCGTTGTAGTGTGCAGTCGTGAGCACACTTAACGTCAAAACAAGACTGCGGCCCGCACTGGAGCTGCCAGAGACGCTCACCAACTCCTATACGATGCTCTGCGCATGCGAGACTACTTTACCATTAGTTCAAGTTTTACTCAAAGCACGCGGGATCAAATATCGACTGCGGTGGCCTTATCTGCGTGCTGTGTTTCTATTTAAATGCACGTTACCAAAAAAAAAGAACCAGGTGGATGAAATCGTAATGATTTTGTGGTTTTAGGAAGTAGCATTCCAATTGTTATTCACTTATTTCACCATGACTTGTCCTGAGCTAGGTGTGTATTCTACTGATTCATGTGCTATATCACCGTTGCACGCAACGCATCATCTTAGGTCACCTCCGTGAAAGGCACTCACTGACGGGCGAGATAGCCCAATAACCACGCCAGGAATGAACAGTGCTTGTGCAGAGCTTCGGGATGGTAAACGTATGCGCATCGCTGATAGCACGGTGCGGCGCCGGCATTCTCGCCAAGCGTACTCACGATTGTAATCGATATCATAGTACGCGATACGCCAGGGGACGTGGCCCTCCGTTAGTTTTAATAAAGAACTGACAATATGTGCCCACAACATAGTGTGTTTCTCCTTAATTTCTTTAGGCCTATGCAGATGGTCGGTTCCAAGTGTGATACTTTACTTTCGCTGTTTTTATAGTGATGTGTGCCGGCGATGAGGGGCCACTGTTTTGGCGCCTTGTGTGCCCCATGAGAATTGGTCGCAGCACCTTTGCCGCAGCGTTGTTCGACGGCGAGCTTTATGTCATCGGTGGCTTCGACGGTGAGTATGGTGCCTCTGATATGTTGCGAAGAGTCAACCTTTGTTTCTATATATGTGTATCGAGAAACCTCGTACCCTAGAACGCCTTTGTCGTCTTTTGGTTCATTGAGCTAGTGATTCTCGAAGGGTCCCGCCGCGGTGGTCTAGTGGCTAAGGTACTCGGCTGCTGAAAAGCAGGTCGCGGGATCGAATTCCGGCTGCGACGGCTGCATTTCCGATGGAGGCGGAAATCTTGTAGGCTCGCGTGCTCAGATTCAGGTGCATGTTAAAGAACCCCAGGTGGTGAAAATTTCTGGAGCCCTCAACTACGGCGTCTCGCATAATCATATGGTGGTTTTGGAACGTTAAACCCCACATTTCAATCAATCAATCAATCAATCATCAATCAATCATCAATCAATCAATCAATCAATCAATCAATCAATCAATCAATCAATCAATCAATCAATCAATCAATCAATCAATCAATCAATCAGTGATTCTCAAAGAGGCAATTCATACTATACAAGTACCACAATACTGCAGTTCTGAAGTGCCCACTGCGCTGCAGTTATTGATTATTTCAATTAGTGAAGTACGTGCTTTGTGTCCGTAAGTCCACACACGCACTCTGCGTAGTTTCATACATTCTTGGTGCTGTTGATTTAGTTGATTATTTTTTTGTGCTTGAACGATTGTTATAAACGTCAACTCACTCATTGCGAAATACTTATAACGTTGTGACACCTGGTGGAGTTCCAGACATCTGCAAATATTACATGTGTTAGTTAACTCATGAACGTGCACGAAGTTCCCCTATATGGGGTGGGGGGGGGGTGGCGAAGTATTGTAATAGCGCCCCCCTTCCTGTTTTGTCGAAAGTGTGTGTCTGGCTTGGCTAACCCTTCTTAGGTGACTAGGAAAGCCGCTGACCCCACCCTTATCCCCCGTACGCACGCATATGTGCTATAAGTGACTCGTCGCACTACATGGCTTGTGTATAGGTTTTTATTTCGCCGAAACAGCTTCAAGCAGTAGTGTGGCTCTGTCGTACAACGTCCAACTTCCGCACAGGAGACAAAAGTTGGATTTCAGCTCAACTACCCCAGTTTTCTTGTTTGCATTTACATTATGATTTTTTTTGCTTGCGGAAAGCGACTGAGACAGCTAAATTTTAGCTACACAGGCGCTTCAAGGCTTTCGTGTTGAAAGCATGCATCAATAAATAATTATACAAGATTCCCTAACAAGAGTTCCTTTCTGAGTAACAACGTAGGTGTGGTTTGTACAAGCATTTTGAAATTCTTTTTTGGTGGTAGAAACGCTTTTCTGGTTGTCGTAGCATTGCTGCTTTGATAACAATTACGGACTGTTCCTGTCTGCTCTCGGCTATCCTCAGGCGATGGGCACCACAGCGGAGGTGGAACGCTATTGCCCGTCCTCCGACAGCTGGCAACCCGTGGTGCCGCTGAACGAAGCGGTCTCTGCCATGGCCGCCTGCACACTGAAGGGCCTCGCCATCTCCAGGCGCTTCTCCGCCGGCGCCGAGCGCTAGCATTGGCGGCGGCTTCTTTAACGAATTTCAATAAGAAACGTTTCATTTTTGTGAAACCTTGTAGGCTCGTACGAATACTCACTCTTATTAGGTGAGTCGTCCCGTCAACACTATACGCATGCATGTCTCCTTTCTTCTTCTACTTTCGCTTGCACGTCTAGGGGCATGCATATCGGAGCCATGCGAACGCCGTGCACAGGCGAGGTACTTATGAGTAAAGTAGTGTTGACACCAAGGTTGGATGTCAGCCTGAAGCCAAACTAACCACAGCATCAGCTTTGAGTGCCTGCAACAAGTGCTGTGAGAAACTGCCATCACGCGATCACACAAATATGTCACCCCACACGGAATTTATACCTCTTGGCTTTTGTCCTGGGCGTCTACACTCGCCTAAGCACACGTCTACTTGGAAAGCCCTGGGCACCATTGTAATTATGACTGATTGGTTTTTGGGATTTAACGTCTCAAGGAGCCTCAGGCTTGAGAGATGCCGCCGCGGATTCGTCCGACTAATTTAAATCACCAGGGAAATAAATATTTAGTGTGCAGTTAGGCCGCATCATACCCGAGTCCTCCCGATGTAATAACCAATCTGCATATGTGAATGTTGTGGAAGATGTAGGCGTTATGCACAACACTGAGAACTAATTAAAAAATTACACATACACCTGAATTATTTGTTATACTATTTGCAGCTCATTAAAAACCCGAAATTCGCTAAAACTTTGTTATAATGAAAATGTTCCTTGAAATGAGATACCTACCAAAATGATAGTTCGACAGAAAATTGAGATGAAATACACTTGAGATATCCACACCCCTAATGAAAACGGACTGCTCCAGCTGCACAACCGTTCACTGGCCACCCTGTATATGTATACGCACTGGATCGCACATCAGCATCCGACCACTCGTTGAAGGCAACGCTCCTCCTCCATTCAATAGGAATAATGAAGACGTAATACCAATCAAAGATTCCCAAATCATACCAAATAACGCAATATTCACGCGATGCCCCATTACTCTTCGACGCATTTACTCAAGTTCCCCCGTGGGAAGATGCGGGCGGCATTTTTTTTCTAAATAAACCTTAGTTTTTGCGGCGGTGGCCTATTTTTGACTATTTTGGTGCCGAATTGTCCTGTGCCGTCGTCCTGTGACCGAATTCGGTATTCCCTTTATCTGTAGCACCTCTAGTTTACATATTGTTTGTATTTTGGCACGTGGCGAAGAAGCGATGACACTCATCGACAGCACGGACCCATAATGTCATCCGTATTTGAAAATTACGTCCCTTATTTTTTCTCTCTTAGCCGATAATAGTAACAGTAGAGTATGCTGGCCTTTTTTCATAACTCATCAGCAAACGAGAAAATGTGTCTTAACTGCGTTTTTAGCTTCTTTATTTCCAAGCTTCAGTTTAGTACAGCGTGCAGTCTTCGCAAGAGCTGTCACAGTGTTAATGGTGAAAAAAATTGAGCCTCCCGTTGCGATTAAAAAGGGGTTCATTCACAATAAACCACAGCTCAACTCCACGTGCTGCTGCTGTGACGCGTGAATCGAAGACCAGCACACGTCGTCATTTTATTCGATCTTTTTCCAACAAATGGCTGGTAGTTGGAATGACTCCTTCACGTTTGATATAGGGTGTTTGACGCGTCACCCTGCCCAAGTTATTTCGTACAGGAGCTGCTGATTGCAAGTGTCAAATTGGCATCCAAATCGATGACGTCGGTGTAATAGGAAGACAATGATGACAAGAAGAAGAAATAAAGAAAAATAAGAAGCAGAAGAAACAGAAGAATATCAAGAATAACTGACCAAGGTACACTTAGTAAATTTTGGCCTATGACCAGGGAAGCAACAAAAAGGGAGAAGGCAGGGAAGTTAATCAGAAAGACATCCGGTTGGCAACCCTACACTGGGGGATTAGGAAAGGGGACAAGAAAGACGAGAAAGAGGGAAGAGATGGAAAAGAAAAAAAAGGGGGGTGGCGGAGAGACTGACAGTAATTTCACTGCAGCGTGTAGAACTCTACCGCATGTCAGAGGCGTTCACACAAGCCTGTCTTTCTTAGGAAACACAGCAGGGCTTTCACTGCCTTGTGGGCTGTCGAGGCATGTGGACGTTGCTGTAATAGCACCTGCACAGAAAGAGGCCGATCATCTAGTCGCCGCATTGCGTTGGCAAGTACTTGTCTATCTGAGGAAAATCGAGGACAATGGCGCAGCAGGTGTTCGATATTTTCGTCGGTGCCGCAAACATCGCACGCTGCACTGTCAGTAATTCCGATTACGAGGTATAAGCTTTCGTGAAAGCAACTCCCAGCCAAAGGCGATAGAGAAGCGAAGCTGCACGTCGATGTAGGCCGGGTGGAGGCCGGAGTTGGAGTGAAGGGTCGAGCTCGTGCAGTCTTGTACGTCGTATGCTTGGTGTGTTCCACTCAGTCAGTGTGAGACTGTGGGCCAGTTGACGAATCTGCCTCGCCGCATCCGCTCTTGACAGCGGACTCGGAACGCTGTTCGCTTCTTTATGTGACGTGCGAGCAGCATGATCTGCAGAATCATTGCCGCCTATACCACTATGTCCAGGTAACCACTGAAAGACGATGTCATGGCCTTTTTGTATTAAAAGGTGGTGAAGGTTCACGGTTTGGTAGGTCAACTGGTCGTGGCATCCGCGTCGGAGAACTGATATCAGGCACTGTAACGCTGGTTTTGAGTCAGAAAACACAGCCCATTTACCTGGTCTTTCTTCTGAGTTGATATGTTCCAGTGCACTGCACAGAGCCTCGAGTTCTGCCATTGTTGAAGTTGTCACATGTGAAGTCTTAAAACACCGAGTTACCTCTTGTGATGTTATAACCACTGCTCCACCTGAACTAGACGGCGTAGTAGAGCCATCCGTGTAAATGTGCACGTGGTTACTGTAGTTTTGTTCCAGTAGGAATAGACTCAGTTGTTTCAGGGCATGTGTCGGTAAGTCCAATTTTCTCCTCATTCCTGGAATCATTAAGTGAACTCGCGGCCGGCTCAAGCTCCAAGGAGGAAGCAGTGGCTTTGATGCAGGTGCGTATGTCTCAGCAAACGATGAACGATGCTTGTAGACAATAGTGCCGTATGTCGTGCGGGGCCTTTCAGCAGCTAGGCTCGCCAAGTGGTGAGAAGGGGTCCTGGAATAATGCCTGAGGTGCGTGCGCATTGTCTCGGTAATAATATGCGTATTTATTGAGTGATCTTGAGCGATGGCAATGGTTTCAGGTGTTGAAGCACTGCGGGGTAATCCAAGGCATATCTTAAGTGCTTGGGCTTGAATGCTCTGAATAGCGTGCAGGTTGGTCTTGCCGGTGTTAGATATTGCAGGTAAGCTGTACCGTAAGAATCCGATAAACAGCACTCTGTACAGTTGTAGCATGGATGGTATGGGCACTCCCCAATTCTTTCCTGCAAGGAATTTGAACATGTGGCATGTTGCGATCAGCCGCTTCTTCACATAGTTCACGTGTGGAGTCCACGACAGGTTTCTATCTATTATGACTCCCAAGAACCTGTGGCTTCTGCTGAACGATATCTATTCTTCATTAATCGATATACTGTAAGCAGACATTGGTTTCCGTGTGAACGCTACCACTGCACATTTTCCGCAGGACACCTCGAGGCCTTGTTTACGAAGATAGCATGACGTCGTTGTAGCAGCCTTCTGAAGGTGGGCGCGAAGCTAAGGCCTTGGCACACCTGATGTCCAAATGCAGATGTCATCAGCATAGACAGAAAGTTCTACAAAGCTAGGTAGCTGCTCGACTAGACCAATGAGAGTTAGGTTGAAAAGGGTAGGGCTTAGCACTCCTCCCTGAGGAACTCCTCGGCTGCTGCAATAATCAGGTGTTGGGCCATTCGCTGTCATCACGTAAAATGATCTCAGCTGTAAGTAGCTGTGCACCCACATATATATCTTGCCACCAAGACCTAGTGTCTCCAAAGCACTAAGGATGGTTTCATGGGTGACATTGTCGTAAGCCCCCTTCACGTCTAGAAACAGCGCGGCGCACAGTCTCTTACAGGCTTTCTGGTGTTGAACATATGTCACCAGATCAACAACGTTGTCGATTGCCGAATGGCCACGCCTGCATCCGGTCATGGATACTGGATAGATTTCGTAGTGCTCTAAATACCACTCCATTCGTATTAGAATCATTCGTTCCATCGTTTTTCCCACACAGCTGGCAAGTGCGATAGGACGGTATGAGGCAATATCCAAAGGAGATTTACCAGCCTTTAGAAGGGGAATGAGGCGACTTGACTTCCATGCCTGGGGAACCGTACCAGTCTGCCAGTAGTCGTTGTATAGGCGTAAGAGTGCCTTCCGAGCTTCGTCTACAAGATTACAAAGGGCACAATAGGTAATGCCGTAAGGTCCGGGCGCTGAATAACGTCTGCACAGAGCCAGTGCCGCCTCTAGCTCATCCATAGAAAACTGGCATTCCATACAGGGATCACGTGAGGGCGGTAGGTTGTCAAATGTTCCCGTTCTTGATACTGTGAATTTAGAATCACCGGCAATTCTTCTACAGAAAGATTCTGCGACGTCAATCTCTCTGCATCGAAGGTGAAGTGCCAGAGATGTAAACGGGTGTCGCTGACCCAAGGTTGTGCTAAGACCCCGGACAGTTCTCCATATCAGTGATAGGGGCTTTCGTGGATCCAACGACTCGCAAAAGGATGTCCAACGTCGCCAAGCCAGTTTGTCCATGTGCCGCTGCATTTTCTTTTGAATGCGTCGAGCCAGCCTCAAATCATCCATGCACTTTGTCCGCCGGTACCTTCGTTCTGCACGACGGCATACTGCGCGAAGTTTCTCAAGCTCGATGTCAAAATCGGTGCGTTTGTGACTAGTCAATTGTGTATGCGTGGTATTCTGCAGGACATCCTTTATCGAGTCCTCTAGGTTATATGATGAGCCGTCGGTACAGCTGTCTTCCATTAACATTTTGAATTTCGGCC